GGGGAGGTGTCTGTGTCTGTGTGTGCATGTGTGTGCATGTGTTTACACACAGCTTTACGTAGCAAGGTTCTCATAACCTAAACTTGTCCAGTGAATGTTTGAACTGCACCATTTTTACTTGCAGCCAAAACAAGGTCTTGAAAAGCTGCAGTAAAAAATAGCTGCTGACTGTTCAGTAGGTTCCAAACAAACTGTTTCCTTACTTTCTCATCAACTTGGGAAACAACTTTTTCAAAGACAGTCCAGAAAACTGCAAACAATCTCCAGGTAATACTCAGCACCTTGGGTGTGTTCACAATATAAAAATCACCTTCACTTCCAAATATTACAGAAAAAGACAGCCAAATATCGAAGTTCTATGGTACTTAGCAGTAGAATTCCACTTACTAAAAAAACAAAGGAGTAAAAAAAAAAAACAAACTTACTTGTATAAGGTCTAAAATGCCAAGCTCACTTTCTGAAGAATCCACACAGAAGACAAAATACAAGGTGGCATAGTGTCGGTAAATTAGTTTGTTATCAGATCCACCTATTAATCTAAACAGGAAAGAAAACAGGAAAGCTTAGTTAGCATCTCAGGATAAGCTGGGCAAATCCCCACAGTTATTTCAGTTAACAGGAGGCTATTGTTAATGGCTGGCTGGAGCTTTCCCAAATCCGACGACATCACAACTTTTATTTTGTGATATAATTACAATGGAAGAATACCACATACCAAGACAGCCCAAGTTACACTTACCACACAAGCATAGTTATTGTTATCCATGTGGACAATAATCACATCAACATACACACCTTTTTATTAAAATAAATTCAAACAGATCATGCAGTTTCATCAAAAAATGGGTATTAAATATACTTCCATTACACGCTAGTGGGGACTGTACAGGGATTAATCTGCTTTACAGATTAACACAGCGTATGCCTATGAATCCTTTCCTGCCCTTCTCAGAGGAGCATTAACAGAAAAAGAAAACTATAGTGCAGACTGGCATTTGGATTACAGAAAAAGCCTGAAATTGGGTTTCTGATCCGCTTATTGCAACACTCTTGTGCTACAAAATGCTTGATATGTTGACAAGTAAGACTGTACTACAACCAATAGTTTGTAATGCAATGTTAAAGTCACAGAAGCAATTAAAATTTTATGGACTGACTAATCATCAAGTTACTAAACAAGAAGAGAAGAGGTCTAAACAGGTATTTCCTTCCACTCTTCTGCTATAGCCTTCCTAAAGAAAATACATAAATCGTAAGAAGGTATGTTTGCAGTCACAGGCGCACTCAAACAGAAATGAAAATATTTTGTAGCCTGAATCTACATGGCTATGAACATCATAATTCTCCCTTAATTCTGTACCAGAACTGCATCATCTGTTTGGTTTATTGTAACTCATCCCTTTAGTTTCTGCCTTTATGACAAGGAAAGAATACGTAAATAAGTAACAAGAACAAGAAATCTTTTAGGTCACTTTTGCTTAAGCATGTTGCTTTGGATTAATGCTGGGGTGGGTGGAGGGGGAACCCTTTGTTCCTAAAGAGCAGGTACGACATTTAAGAAGTATCACACAAAAATATTACAAATGTGAAAGTGGAAAGAAATGGCAACTAAAGGTTCCTATTTTGTGCTTTATTTACCCAATTCTTTCAAATACCTCAGTACACAGAACTAGTATACATAAACTGTTGAGACCTTTGAGTAAACTGCAAACTATAAAGTGAGCCCTGTCCTGATAAAAAAAAAAATAAAAAACAAAAAAACAAACAAACAAACAAAAAACACACTACTGAAAAAATATACTGAAATGGTAACTCCAGAATTGAGCAGTAGGAAGAAAGGCAGAATTGTGTCCTCTGTCTTAGTTTCTTTTTGTTGCACGGTTGAGATTTTTTTAAAAGTCTCCACTTCTGTCTTTCACTTACAGAATTCAAGCCAGCATGTTTCCAGCTTGAAATCATCTCCAAGAACCAAATGATAGAATCACCAGTTGATTAGCTGTTAAAGAACAATTTTAGTTTAAAAAATAATAAAATCAAGTTAAAAAAATTGGGAATCATCTTGATCAGGAAAGACACATCATAGCTGACATAGTACAGCTAAGCAATTAACTGCACACAGAAAATCTAGGCATCAGCATACTAAATTTCAGTAATCAGAAATTTTCATAATTACCATATTTAACAGGCTATGAAAATCTCTGTGTTTAGACTGGAGATCATGACCTTACTCCATCAGTTATGACCCCTTTTCCTAGAAGATTGCTTTGTAACTATTTACTCTTGATGACTAACATCACAAAGTAAACCACTTTTCCATTTCAGAATCTCTTCTCTTCAACTGAAGCAAGACCACATTAAAAAAACAACATTCAAGAAAGAACATTTTGTGTGTCTTCTACAGACAGAAGATGTAAGTCTGGCTTTCCTCTTACCTTGTTCTACCTATATTGATAAAAAAATCTTGGTTGAGACTGCATTAGTTAGCAGATTTAAAACCTACTTTTTTTTCTTCCTAGTTTATACAGCAAGCCTGAACCCTGATAAAAAGGCTGAGGAAGCCTACTATCAGAAGCTGTCCACTCAAATTTTAGGAGCTCAAGCCAAAGCCCCAGCTACCCAATATTTTAATTTTCTCAATGGGTATGACAAATGCCAATGACTCTTCAAATGAGGCCAGAAATCTTTAGCTTGATTATAGAGAAACTGGTTAGGTATCACCTGCCTCCTTCTTCCCCATCTTGTGTCTGAAAGAAGTATAGCACTAGGTATGGCACTGTGTCAGTTACAGCACTAGAAAAAATTAGTTTTATTGCCTAACTCATTTTGAGACATACACATATGTATGCTTCAGTTAGTAAAGAATATGTATACCTGGTGCAACATAGTATTATTCTTTGTGTACTAAAACACCTCAAGTGACATGGCATTTACATTACAACTGTAAAAAGAGTTATATTACAATCAGCAGTAATACTATTCGCTAGCCAGTAAGTATTGGGCATGTATTTCAAACTTGATACTTACAGTCCTCCTTCTAGGAAATTACAGACATTTTCATCACGTTTTGATACTAAATGGAAAGTTTCTCTGATAATTTGTTGCTGTGTATCTTCACTCTATGAAAGAAAACATATTTTGCTATCAAGCTGAAATGGATTAACAATGGACAGCACACACAGCTAATAAACAGAGCACAAAGTATATCAACACTCTCAAACTATCTGCTTCTGAAGACTTAAATCTGCCAATTAACAAGCTGCATATTGGTTTTGTCATTTCAACACAAAGATATTTTTACAAGTTAAGCCACAGAAGAATACATTACTGAGAAACAAATGTGAAAAAAAGTGATTGAAGAAACTTCTAAAAAAACCCCTGCCTAAAAATAGTTTCTTCAAGTGAACACGAAGTCTTCTCAAGTATTCTGAATTTTTTGTACCTCCAGTGTAGCCTGAACAGCTACAGACATGCTTTGAAACTACTTTCACCCATGAATAGGGGGGAAAACTAAATCTCAAAGCTTGAACGGGGTGGAGAAACTAAATATCCCACAATACATAACTCTTTCAGAAACAGCTTAAAATACAACAGCATCACGAGCAATGTTCTCCTAAGCCATTAACTTTCCTTCTAGCAGACCAGGAACATCACTTCCAAGTCTGAATTCACTTGACTCTTCTTGAGTCTCCACTGCAACTCACTCACTCTTGCACACTTGCTTTTGCTATCCTTCTGTAAGAGTAGACTCATTTTTAACGAGTCTATACTTCCATAGCCAAAAAATTTAGATACAATTCCTAAAATCCTGCATTTGCTTTATAGCACAGAACCCTGAAGTTATCAAGCATAGATAGCCCCCACCCCCGCCCAAGCGTGTAAGTCAGTATTTTAAACCTTTATATGAGCTAACACTCTAAGCAAAACTGGTGCATGTACCTTACAAGTGAAAAAAGCTAGAACAGTGCAGTACCCTGCACAACTGCTAAACAAACAAAGCCTGGCATTGGTGTGGTTTGCATTCACCACCTTAAATTCACATGTTATTTTACAAGCAACCTCTAGAATCCACAAAGATGCGAGCAAAAAGCTCCAGCAGAAGTTTTATGTTTTGTGGAGCAATTTGTGTTCCTTAAAATTGCCCCTGCCTTACTCCACTGCAGTTATTTCAGTTACTTCCCCCATATTTTCTATGGCAGCAGGAAAGAGACAATGTGGTTTTTTTCCTTAAGAAATTGAGATACTGAGAATTTAAAATAACTTTTGTTTTCAGAATCTCCCCTTATTCACGAAGTTTGGACACAGGTCTATATTCTGAAACATAAAACCACAGCACATGTCTTCCTATTTAATCAACACGAATTATTATTTTGTCACCCAATCGCAAAAGTTTATTAACTTCATTTTATGCAGCAGAAACTCCTTCCATTCTCGTATATATCAGGGAAAAAAGTTACACATGTTTTCTAAGTGTTGGTATGATGAAGCAAACAAACACCTCTTTCACAGATCTGAGCAAATTAATCTCTCTAGAAAGCAGAAGATGCTTCCACTTGCAGGAAAAAAAAAAAAAAAAAAAAAAGAGAGATTTGGCTCCAGTACTGGTTCAATCAATACTAAAGTACGCATAAGTTTCAGAAAGTCCATAAATAAACGTATCTTATTGAAGTCACACACAAAAAGATAATCAAGACAATTGCACCTGTTTCTGTACACCACAAAGCTTTAGGGAAATCACCTAATCACATAATTTCTTAGTTTCATCTGCTATTCATGTTTTCAAAATTACAAAGTGTTCTGTTTGTATTACCGACGTATTACCCTACTTCAAGCATTAACAATCTGTTCTAATGCCAGTTAAGAAAGTTGTAGAGCAGAATGGAGTTGACAAGAGAAATCGAGTATCCTCCTGCCTTTTACTCCTCTCCTTCTCCGGCTTCTTCTCCCTCCCAGGACTTTGATTACACAACAGTAACAGAAGACACAAAAAGATAATTACATTTGAATGGAAAATGTCAACGGAAGTTAACTGTTGCACATTCATGTAAGTTTTGTATACCTTTCCAAAGCCTTTCATCTATCTATTTAATTGGTACCTCCTCACTGACAGGAAAAAAAGAAAAGAAAAAAACCCAACTTCTTTAGTAAGTTACTGTAGCTCTGCAACGGAAGTTGTCAAGAACAGACTGGGGATGCACAAAAGGGGAATGTTTATCCATATGTGTAGGTGAGAATATTCCATTTTAATTTTTAAATTACAAATGCTAAATGAAAGACATCTGCTTGGTAATCCAGAACTGATGAGAAAGAAAAAAATGGGTTCACATATATTAGAATTTCCCAACATTGCCCTTCTAAGGAGAAGGGATTAAATTCAGTTATCCATAGCAATGGCCTGCATCAGTTACACTCCTTTGATTAAAAGCCTGATAGTGCAAACTGAAGTCTCACAGTCATCATTTCCGGTCTAAGATGTAGAAAATACACCCCTTCCAATAAAGTGAAATATTACTTCTGTAATAGCCAGAATTGCAAGTAAGTGGCCACAAATCCAAGTAAGTGATAGCACTACTGAAAAAGAATATTTTGCTTATGTAATTCTGGGAAGCATCAGCTGTTTTGTATTTTAATGTCCAATGTCAGCCCAAGCAAAGCTTAGCCTATTTGCTAGGAAATACAGTACGTGATCAAAACATTACCTTAAAATCTCTTATCCTTGAATTCAATCAACAGTTTCCACATTGTTTCTTAATTCCCTGTGGCTGCACTTTCTTTTCATTCAGATCAACTGCTTGCGCTGCACTTTCAGAGCTGCTTTGCTAATTGCCTTCTCCCATGTAAAACACACTTTTCTACTTCATTACATTTCTTTTTCATGTCAAATGCATTTTTATAGTACTCTTAAAGTTTCCAAAGGAAAAGATTGTGCTTATTGAACCTAAGTCCCAAAAAACTCCTCTTCCCAATTCTAACACCTCTGCCACAGCATGGAGACACGCAGCACTACATCACAGACGCCGAGTCAGGCTACGAAGCATAGCAGAGTTTAGAGGAGCGCTTCCGCAAATAAGCTCCGAGAACCGAGTTTGCCATTGAAGACAACTCCTTTTCTTCACCTTCCGTACCACTAAAGGACAATTTCCAGTGAAAAGCACACCGGCTGGGGAAACAGCTTTCTTCGACACCTCATTTTCCTTACCGACGGCTCCTACAAGGTCTCGGCACCCTCCATTTGCCCACGCTCTCGGCCCACGCCGCGGCCCTAAGCACGCAGCAGCAGGCGACAGGAC